GTATTAAAATTATCAACACAAAATATAGCACGAAACTATGGGTATAAATTGGATAAATTTAGACTTGGGAAAGACCTGGGGTAAATACTGGTTCAGTAACAGGGTTGTTGCTTTGTGGAACCAAGTATTCCTTACCGAATTAGACTGCCACAGTTCTAACATGTTTCGTGAAGAACAGATTTTAATTCAATTTCACTCCTAATATAGTAAATAATTAACTGCATATCTACGTCATCCAGTCGACTGAGAGAATGGTATATTACGCTGGAGTAACTTGCCAACTTCATCTCCAAGATAAAATAATTTTAAGAGTTTTCCCTTTATGGATTCCGTCCCAATTAACTTCCGAATGCATGATCAGGTTGATCAGGTATCCTTTAGAGGTGTTTATCAAGTTCTCTCTTGAACACTGTGAGGGTTCGGCCAGTTATGCCCCTTATGTGTAGTGGAAGCGTGTTGAACAGTCTCGGGCCTCATGTTGATAGTTCTCTCTTAGAGTACCTGTTGCATCTTTACTCTTCAACGGGATATTCTGCACATCCTGCCATGCCGTCTGGTCTCATGTGGTGTTATTTCTGTGCGCAGGTTTGGGATCAGCCCCTCTACTATTTTTTACGTGTAAATTATTGTGTATCTCTCCTGCCTGGGCTCAAGAGAATACAGATCTAGGCTCTTTAGTCGGTCCCAATAGTTTAGATGTTTTACTGAATGGATTCTAGCAGTAAAGGATCTCTGCACGCTCTCCAGGTCAGCAATTTTCTCCAGCTTTGAAAGGGGCTGTCATTGTGCAACGGTATTCCACTCTAGAGAGCACTAGCGTCTTGAAAAGTACCATCATTAGAATAGCATCTCTAGTGTGAAAAGTTCTTGTTATCCAACCTGTCATTTTTCTTGCAGTAATGATGGCTACTTTATTGTGTTCTTTAAAGGTAAAGTCTTCCGACACGAGTACACCCAAATCCTTTACATTGCTTTTTCGTTCTATGTTATGATTTGCCTGAGTTTTGTACGTGGTTTCCGTTTTTATATTTTCATTTTTCTGTAGCGCATGAGCTGGAAATTGTCAGAGTTTATATTATCACATAATTGCTCTCATTATCCGGGTACTGGTTTTTCCCAAGAACTCGTCGATAATTCTAGGTCCATTCAGGAGTTGATGTAAATTTCTTATGTGTATATTGTAAAATATAAATGTATAATAATACGTACTCACCTGGTTCTACTCACCTGGTTGTGCTTGCGGGGGTTGAGCTCTGTGGCCAGATTCACGAAAGCACTTACGCAAGCACTTACGAACGTGTATATCTTTCCTCAATCTTTGACGGCTTTGGTTACATTTATTAAACAGTTTACAAGCATGAAAACTTGCCAGTCAGCTGTTATTATTGTTATAAACAGCCTCCTGGTGCTTCGGAGCTCATTAACTGTTTAATAATTGGAAACAAAGCCGCCAAAGATTGAGAAAAGATGTACAGGCTCGTAAGTGTTTGCGTAAGTGCTTTCGGGAATCTGGCCCCTGGCTCTTTGGTCCCGCCTCTCAACTGTCAATCACCTGGTGTACAGTTCATAGTCCCAGTTGTACTGGGACTTGTTTGACGTTAGAATCCGGAATTTGTGATGTTCCTGCACCTTGGGTTGACACATTGTTCAACCACCAGCAGGGTAGTTTAGCCTACACGCCAGCCACCACCTGCCCGCCTCGTGGGAGGCAAGCTAGTGGATGCGAGCTGGTCTGGGCTAACATCTCTAACTCTTGGTGAATTGCCACGGAAGCTCATTAAGAGGTGTGGTGTTTGGGATCGTATCTTGTATCACCTTACTCCTTGTTTTCAGTGTTCAGGGTCATTGAGGTGAAATTAGGGTTCGTGTTTTTATTTTATTTTGGCCTATAATTTTGTGTACAAAGACAGTTGTATTGGAGGTGTTAAAGTGACTTTAGTCACTTTAGTGACTTTGTTAAAGTGACTTTAGTCACTTTAGTGACTTTGTTCAAGTGACTTTAGTTACTTTAGTGACTTTGTTAAAGTGACTTTAGTCACTTTAGTGACTTTGTTAAAGTGACTTTAGTCACTTTAAAGTGACATCTTGTTTTATTTAACTCAATTTTTGTTTTAACTTTGGCTTTGACTTTAAGTTTTAATGCAGCTTTTGTGTTTTTTATGCTACGTATATCAGACAATCAGCTTGGTATAACTGCAGCACCTCGCATAATGTATAATGTATACTCTCCTATGCTCTATGAATATGTATGCACTACGCTTTCTAAATATGCCGGACTTTATGTATGTGATATTGCAATGCTTTATAAATACAAGTTTGCTATGAAAAATGAATACCAGAATAAATTTGCTCCTCTTTATGTATATTAATATGACTATACTATTCTTCATGTATATTAATACGAATATACTATACTTTATGTATATTAATACGAATAAACTATTAATTATTTTTTTGTATTTTTGTACTTGTATGGTGTATTCTATACTTGTGTGGTGTGTATTGGACCAGTTTGATATATTTTGTATATCTTTGTGACAAAATTTGTACCTGAGTGACATCATTATGCTTGCGTAACTAAGCCGTCGACGTCATTATTTATGTGTAACTAGGACTTGCGTGACATTACGTATGCGTAACTGGGACTTGTGTGACACTACGCATGCGTAACTAGGACTTGTGTGACACTACGCATGCGTAACTAGGACTTGTGTGACACTACGCATGCATAACTGGGACTTGTGTGACATTACGCAAGCGTAACTAGGACTTGTGTGACACTACGCATGCGTAACTGGGACTTGTGTGACATAACGCATGCGTAACTAGGACTTACGTGACATTACGCATGCGTAACCAAAATTCCAAAATAAGTTTTAGAGGACGAGTTGGTATATCTACGCGTGTACGCAGAGCGTTTGTGCGTACATCTGAGCCTAGAAGTATATATGAATGTGTACACATAGCTGTCTGTAGGTATATATGGACCCGCACGTATGTGCTGTTCCTTAGAGAAGAGGAATTATGCATGAATAAACGAAAGCTTTCGCAGTTTGGGACAATCTTTTGACTCACTTGAGTAACCCTGGGACATATACATGCTAGAGCAACCCTGGGACATATACATGCTAGAGCAACCCTGGGACATATACATGCTAGAGTAACCCTGGGACATATACATGCTAGAGCAACCCTGGGACATATACATGCTAGAGTAACCCTGGGACATATACATGCTAGAGTAACCCTGGGACATATACATGCTAGAGTAACCCTGGGACATATACATGCTAGAGAAACCCTGGGACATATACATGCTTGAGTAACCCTGGGACATATAATAGAGTAACCCTGGAACATATACATGCTAGAGTAACCCTGGGACATATACACGCTAGAGTAACCCTGGGACATATACACGCTAGAGTAACCCTGTGACATATACATGCTAGAGTAACCCTGGGACATATACATGCTAGAGTAACCCTGGGACATAAACATGCTAGAGTAACCCTGGGACATATACATGCTAGAGAAACCCTGGGACATATACATGCTAGAGTAACCCTGGGACATATACATGCTAGAGCAACCCTGGGACATATACATACTAGAGCAACCCTGGGACATATACATGCTAGAGCAACCCTGGAACATATACATGCTAGAGAGAGTAACAATGATGTGTTTGGCACTATTTGAGCATCTCTACTGCAGAGGAAAGAGTCCCTATAGTGTCTGGTGGTGGTTGTTGTGGTGATAGTGATGGTGGTGGTGGTAAGGTAATGGTGGTGGTGGTGCTGGTAATGGTGGTGGTGGTAATCGTAGTGGTGTTTTGGCGGTGGTTGTTGTGGTGACAGTGATGGTAGCTGTGGTGGTTGTTGTACTAGTAGTGGTGGTTGTTGTGGTGATGGTGGTTGTAGTGGTGGTGTTGGGGATCATTAGAGTAGCGTGGCATATGTGGATGAGTCAGACCCCCAGAGGAAGGAGGGGGGGGGGACGTCAGCAAGGCGGTTCATCACTGGCAATAAGTATATTTTTCCGGGTGTGTGTGTTGGGGGAGGTGGGGGAGCTAGGAGGGGTAAGCTGAGTAGTGAAGGATTGGTGAGAGGGGGTGTGGGGTGGGGGTGGTGGGGGGGGGGGGTAGGTAGAGGCGGTGTCAGGTGATGTTGGAGTGTGTGTGGGGGGGAGGGGTGAGGGATCTTGAGGGAGGGATGGAGGGAGAGAGAGAGAGAGCAACAGCATGCAGGTCAGCTGAGCGCACGTCGCCTGTCATCACTCCTCATCACCTCATCACTCCCTCATCACCCCTCACTCCCCCTATCCCACCTCAGACACCTCCTCTGCGCATTAGAATCTATTTTATCTCACCGCTGGTGCTGGGCGTGTGGTGAGGGAGGGAGGGAGAGAGGTAGGGGGGACAGCACGCACGCACGCACGCCCCCCACCACACACACACACGCGCGTGCCTCCCGCGCCGGACCATGCTTGCACGCCACAATTAAATGTTGTTTAAAATGAAGCAATTACCGTGGGCGGTGCTGGGAGTCTGCTAGTGTCTCCCAGCACCAGTACACGATCAAGTTTCACTCCCCCGCGCCACCCCCCCCCTCACCACCCGCTTCATCTCAAAATGCTTCGGTGTCTTCAAATCTCACCCCGTCGGGGGGGAAAAAATGGAGGGGAGTGAGCGATATTTTGTGAGGGGTGAGCGATGAGATGCGAAGCGGCCATGTGTCAGGTCATTAGTGTCGTTCTTGTGATTGGTGACTCTCGCTTTACCCATCATCCTACCATTCATCATCTTAAGTGACGACATAACATCGCCATCCACCAATCAAAGCTCGCTTTACAACTCTCCAGGAGCTGAGGACCAATCAGCGCGTGTCGACGGGACCAGCGTGTGAAATCTAACGGGACATTTTCCACCAATCAGGAGGCGCGTTACAAGCCGCGGTTCGGTGACGTCACGTGGACCCGGGTACGAGTGAGCAGAAATCAAGAATATTCATTCAGTTAGTAGCGCTCAGTGGCAGTGGACGGTGTGTGGAATGCTCCTCCTCTGGACCCCTTCTGTGGACCTGATTAGTGAGCCTCGCTCGAGGAGAAACACAGTGACACAGTGTTATTAAATACCTACCACAATGTTGACTTCGAGTGGGAGTCAATACCTTAGACCGGAGTATCTCAACCCCATACAGGGACACTCAATTGAGGTGAGTCCTGGTTCCTATTGAGGATTAATAACTTTTTGGTTTTTAAAACACGTTTTACACATTGGTGGTGAGTGGTTCTTGGTGGTCTGTGAGATGGTGTCGTGGGACTCGAGTGTGTGTGTGTGGTTCTGAGCGCGCGCTGGGAACTTCGTGGAGTGGGTTTAGAGACACTACGAACTCTGGTGAATAAGTTTGGGAGAATTTTTCTTCTTTGAGGAAGTGATCGCGCGCGTGTTTGTGTTTGTGTGTGTGTGAGGGGGGGGGGGGGAAGCTGGTGAGGAGATATGTGGCGTGTGTGTGTGTTCTGACAGTGTGCTGCTCTGTTGGAGGTGATGTGGTGCTCTGTTGGAGGTGTTTACGTGGTGCTCTGTTGGAGGTGATGTGCTGCTCTGTTGGAGGTGTTGTGGTGCTCTGTTGGTGTTGACGCGGAGCTCTGTTGGGGGTGTTGACGTGGTGCTCTGTTGTAAGTGTTGACGTGGTGCTCTGTTGGAGGTGTTGACGTGGTGCTCTGTTGGAGGTGTTGACGTGGTGCTCTGTTGGAGGTGTTGACGTGGTGCTCTGTTGGAGGTGTTGACGTGGTGCTCTGTTGGAGGTGTTTACATGTTGCTCTGTTGGAGGTGTTTATGTGGTGCTCTGTTGGAGGTGTTTATGTGGTGCTCTGTTGGAGGTGTTGACTTGGTGCTCTGTTGGAGGTGTTGACATGGTGCTCTGTTGGAGGTGTTGACATGGTGCTCTGTTGGAGGTGTTGACGTGGTGCTCTGTTGGAGGTGTTGACTTGGTGCTCTGTTGGAGGTGTTGACTTGGTGCTCTGTTGGAGGTGTTTACATGTTGCTCTGTTGGAGGTGTTTATGTGGTGCTCTGTTGGAGGTGTTGACATTGTGCTCTGTTGGAGGTGTTGACTTGGTGCTCTGTTGGAGGTGTTGACATGGTGCTCTGTTGGAGGTGTTGACTTCATGGATACAACTGTATTCAGTTGTATCTGTATTCAGATACAACTTCATGAATTCACCTGTATTTTCTCAAAAAAAAACTGTGTAATATATATATATATATGTATATATATATATATATATATATATATATATATATATATATATATATATATATATATATATATATATATATATATATACACGTTCAGCTATAATGCATACTACATAATGTATATATAGGGGAACTTGGGGAACTTGTATAGAAAACGGAATCATGATCATGGATAACTATTCAGATTTTGGTGTCTCCATAAATACTGAACACCAACATGAAGCTATAGACAAGAATAATGGAAACCGAAGGTAGCAACAACCTGATGCATCAACGCCTAAAGCCAAACGCTTCGATACACCTAATGTAATGCATCCTTGGCCTAAATGTATATAAAGTTATACATAAGGTATATATAGAGCATATACATTGCTATTACATATGGCATACATAAGATTGAACATAATGCATATATAGCTGAACGTATATATATATATATATATATATATATATATATATATATATATATATATATATATATATATATATATATATATATATGCCACATAGATCATGTATATTGATATGCATAGGGCCTATATATATATATATATATATATATATATATATATATATATATATATATATATATATATATATATATATGTCGTACCTAGTAGCCAGAACGCACTTCTCAGCCTACTATGCAAGGCCCGATTTGCCTAATAAGCCAAGTTTTCCTGAATTAATATATTTTCTCTAATTTTTTTCTTATGAAATGATAAAGCTACCCATTTCATTATGTATGAGGTGAATTTTTGTTTATTGGAGTTAAAATTAACGTAGATATATGACCAAACCTAACCAACCCTACCTAACCTAACCTAAGCTATCTTTATAGGTTAGGTTAGGTTAGGTAGCCGAAAAAGTTAGGTTAGGTTAGGTAGGTTAGGTAGTCGAAAAACAGTTAATTCATGAAAACTTGGCTTATTAGGCAAATCGGGCCTTGCATAGTAGGCTGAGAAGTACGTTCTGGCTACTAGGTACGACATATATATATATATATATATATATATATATATATATATATATATATATATATATATATATATATATATATATATATATATATATGTCGTACCTAGTAGCCAGAACTCACTTCTCAGCCTACTATGCGAGGCCCGATTTGCCTAATAAGCCAAGTTTTACTGAATTATTATATTTTCTCTAATTTTTTTCTTATGAAATGATAAAGCTACCCATTTCATTATGTATGAGGTCAATTTTTTTTTATTGGAGTTAAAATTAACGTAGATATATGACCGAACCTAACCAACCCTACCTAACCTAACCTAACCCATCTTTATAGGTTAGGTTAGGTTAGGTAGCCGAAAACGTTAGGTTAGGTTAGGTTAGGTAGGTTAGGTTGTCGAAAAAACATTAATTCATGAAAACTAGGCTTATTAGGCAAATTGGGCCTTGCATAGTAGGCTGAGAAGTGAGTTCTGGCTACTAGGTACGACATATATATATATATATATATATATATATATATATATATATATATATATATATATATATATATATATATATATATATATATATATATATGGCTATAATTAGGACTAATATGGCTATTCATAAGGCATATGTAGCTATATTTAGGATATCTATGGCTATATATAAGACATATATAGTTATACTTAGAGCATATATACATGACTATATGTAGAGCATATATAAAGATTTAAATAGGTCACATGTGACTAAATATAAGTTATAATGGCCAAATGTCATCTGTGTTCGAGGTGAAGAAAAATATATAATTAACTGTAGAATGTATTTCTACAAGTATATTATTACTTCTACAGGATATTAACTGCAATATATATTGCTGGTAATTATTTCTCTTTCTTCACCTTGAACAAAGATGACATTTGGAGAATATCTCTTCCAATTAGACCAAGATGCAAGAGCACTAGTCAAAGTGATAGACGCCCTAAAGAAGAAAATAATTAAGAATATGCAGTCATATTCAATGAGATATGTATAAATGATATATATATATATATATATATATATATATATATATATATATATATATATATATATATATATATATATATATAATGTGTGTGTGTGTGTGTAAATCACGAAAAATAAACACGTGATTCAAAATGTGACAGTGTCAGACCACGGAGGAAGAATTGAAACAGGAATTTCCTTAAGTACTTTCGTATATTATGACATCTTCAGAAGGAGTCTTTACTCCTTCTGACGATGTATTATTTAATACAAAAGTACTTAAGGAAATTCCTGTTTCAATTCTTTCTTCGTGGTCTGACACTGTCACGTTTTTCATCACGTGTTAATTTTTCTGATTTACACACACACACACGCTCATATATATACATATATATATATATATATATATATATATATATATATATATATATATATATATATATATATATATATATATATATATATATAATCATCCCATCCTCCTGTTTTGGTAGTACTTATAGTGACGATGAGGACAATAGGTCATATACCGTCGTACAACACAATTAGAAAGTATAAATCGGTACTATTGAATTTGGACAAAAAAGAAAACGATTTTCTACTTATGTTTCTAGAGGCTTGACAGCTGAGTGGACAGCGCTTCGAATTCGTAGTCCTGAGGTTCCGGGTTCGATCCCCGGTGGAGGCGGAAACAAATGGGCAAAATGTTTCTTTCACACTAATGCACCACCTGTTACCCTAGCAGTAAATAGGTACCTGGGAGTTAGACAGCTGCTACGGGCTGCTTCCTGGGGGGTATATAATAAAAAGGAGGCCTGGTCAAGGACCGGGCCGCGGGGACGTTAAGCCCCGAAATCACATCAAGATAACCTCAAGAAGATTATGTTACAAAAGATGAACAAAATTAACCTAACCTTCCTAGGCCTAATATGATGAGACCTAATATAGTATATATGTGTACTATGTTAGGCCTAGGAATATTTAAGTTTGTTTTTTAGTTTAATTTTTGTTATTATTATATAGTGAATAGTACAAAATTCAACTATCTAATTGCTTAGTATGTCATTGTACTATGGTGTACAATGCACATCTAAACAGAATGATGGGTTGCACAATATCTAGTACATATACACACACATATAGTGTGTGTGTATATATATATATATGTACACACCAGACTAGTCCCGGAACTGAAAGGTATGAGTTACAAGGAAAGGCTAAGGGAGCTGAACCTCACATCCCTGGAAAACCTGAGAATAAGGGAAGACATGATAACCACCTTCAAAATTCTCAGGAATTGACAGGGTGGACAAAGACAAACTCTTCAGCACGGGTGGAACACGAACAATGGGACACAGGTGGAAACTTAGTACCTAAATGAGCCACAGAGATATTAGAAATAATTTTTTTTAGTGTCATATTAGTTAACAAATGGAATACATTAAGCAGTGATGTGGTGGAGGCTGGCTCCATACACAGTTTCAAATGTAGATTTGATAGAGCCCAGTAGGCTCAGGAATCTGTTCACCAGTTGATTGACGGTTGAGAGGCGGGACCAAAGAGCCAGAGCTCAACCCCCGCCAGAACAACTAGGTGAATACACACACACACACACACACACACACACACACACACACACACACACACACACACACACAAGTGATGTGTTGGAGGCTGACTCCATACACAGTTTCAAATATAGGTATGATAGAGCCCAGTAGACTCAGGAATCTGTACACCAGTTGATTGACAGTTGAGAGGCGGGACCAAAGAGACAAAGCTCAACCCCCGCAAGCACAACTAAGTGAGTAAAAGTAGGTGAGTACACAAGAGACAACCACAGTACCCCTGACATGCATCCCCTTGCAAATAAGTACTGGAAAGAATAATATGAATAAGACTGCGCACCTAGAGAGAATTAGATATGTAAACAAACATCAACATGGCTTCACGGAAGGTAGATTATGCTTAACGAACTTTCAAAAGTTTTATGATAAAATAACGATTTTATCAAAAAACAAAGTGGCAGGACAGAGAAGATTGCATAGCTTGCATATTTCTGGGTTGCCTAAAAGCCTTTGAAGCAATATCATTCTAGAGATTAGCACATAAACTTGAGAGGCAGGCTATAAGTTGAGAACTCTGACATGGGAAAAAGAATACCTAACAGACAGGAGTCAGAGAGCCGAGTGAGGGGCGAGAATTCAGACTGGCGAAGGGCAACAAGCAGAACACCTCAAGAATCGGTGCTAGGACCCGCGCTGTTTCACATTTATGTTAATGTCCTATCTACAAGAGTAGAATACTATGTGTTGGCGTTTTCAAGTGATGCGAAACTAATGAGAAGAGTTGAGACTCGTGAGGGTTGTAAAATTCTCGAAGATGTCTTAGATAAAGGGCAGAGTTGGTCCAAGAAATGGCTTCTGGATTTTAAATAGTAAATAACATGGCTGTATAGAGAGCATAAGAGTATAACATGTACTGTACATATATTGTCTGTATACAGTATATATAAATATGTACAAGTGTGTGTGTGTGTACATATGTATATGTACTGATACAAGAAACTGTACTTGTGGTCGGTCTCGAGGCCATTGTTGATGTGACGATGTGCATTGAATTTTGTAACCAGCTCATCAAGATTGTAACTTGTTTAGCTAAATGAATTATGGGGGTTCAGTCCCTGAGCCCATTATGTGCCTTTATAACCCATTCCCCTCCCGCCCACAAGATGAGTATGGGGTGCATAATAAATGAACTAACCTAAAAACTTCATATGTATTATATATGTAAATCTGGATGAAATATTTCTCTCCTCGCAGCTGGATGCTAAGAAGTCTCCTCTCGCCTTGTTGGCGCAAACGTGTTCATCTATTGGCGCTGATCTTTCCCAGAAGGGCACTATTCCTCCCGTAGAGAAGAGTAGCAGTAAGGGCAAGTCGTCTCCGGGCACTAAGTCTCCGGGCACTGCACTCGCCATTTCACCCTCGGACGATACTAAAACGACCACTACTTCGTCCTTTAAGCCTTACGAGAAGAAGGAGGACGACGACCGAGTAAGTCCTAAGAGAACGTCCCCCAGTGCGCGGTCGCCCGCCGGGAGCCAACCCAGCGCAGAACGTTCTTCGTCGAGAAGTAGCGAGAGTGGGCGGTCTTCGTCACGCCCGCGAGAACCAGCCACCTCGTCAGCGTCGTCGCTCTCGCCGCGAATCGCCTCCCCCGTCACGCCAAAGACTTCCTCGTCACTATCTCACACATTCTCAGCCCTGGGAGATCTAAGCAAGGATCCCCTAGCAGCGTACAAGTTAGCCCCAAGCCTCTACCCTCACCTGGCACTTGGCCTCGACCCTCTGGGCGCAGCGGGACTCTCAGCGCTCACAGCCAAGGTAAGCACTTCCATGCACTTAATTTATGGCTATTACCCAAATGGCTTTGTTTACAGCCTTGTTTTCTTTAGTCTCTCCCCATGCAGAAATTCAGTCACCTAACCATTTTCTATTTGGGTGCTATTCACTGTAAACATATGATTTATCAGTTAATATCTTATACATATTTTTAATGCAAAGGCTTTGTTAGAAAAAGAGAAATGACACATTTAGATAATTATAACCTTAGTTTTATCCATGAAAATTATATTAGTGGTATGAGTGAAACATGCAGTATATATTATATATATATATATATATATATATATATATATATATATATATATATATATATATATATATATATATATATATATATATATATATATATATATATATATAATGTGGCGACCGGAAGAACCCGTGTTGAAATTGACTTGCAAAATGTTGCCAACGTGGCAATAAACATGTCCTGTGGCGGCCCACATCCATTGCATACTGTCGTCACATTTTCCCTGGCTATAATTTCTTTTATCTTGCCTCACCTCCCAAGAAACATTCATATCCCCTATCCCTCATAGGCGTTTTCTTGCGTATAGTGATCTCCTGCAGATAGTGTCCTTTGTATAGTGTTGTTATGCGTATAGTGTCCTTTGTATAGTGTCCTGCGTATAGTGTTGTCCTGCGTATAGTGTCCTTTGTATAGTGTTGTCCTGCATATAGTGTCCTTTGTATAGTGTTGTCCTGCATATAGTGTCCTGTGTCCAGTGTCCTTTGTATAGTGTTGTCCTGCGTATAGTGTCCTTCATATAGTGTTGTCCTTTGTATAGTGTTGTCATGCGTATAGTGTCCTTTGTTTAGTGTTTTCCTGCATATAGTGTCCTGCGAATAGTGTTGTCCTGTGTATAGTGTTGTCCTGTGTATAGTATCCTTTGTATAGTGTCCTGTGTCTAGTGCTGTATTGCACACAGTGCTGCCTTTCTCACTAATAAATACCTGTCAGCTGCTTCCTTCACCCTGGCGGGCAAGTATATACATCAAGGAGGGGTGGGGCCCCATGTATCATTATCAGGGCGGGCAAAGATGTTCCTTCAGGCAGGTGGATGGGTTCGTTCCTTAGTGGGCGTTTGACCCACTGAGCAACATACTGAGTCCCAACCCACTTCCTTACCGGGATAAACACACTTTGCTTACCCTGATGAACGCAAGTGCTAGCCACGATAACCAACACATACACACATTTTTTTGTTATTAATACATTAGGTACATTGTGCAGCTGCCCTAGACTATATCAACCCGTTCTCGCACCTGCTTATAGTCAATATCTTGCTTATGAGTAAGTGCATATGTGACATACTACACACACACACAAACACACGTACATACATACACCTGCCCGCCCCACTCTACGGTGTATAACAGTCCACGTGTGTTCTCTTACAGGTTCCTACGAGTACAGCGGCTGCACTCTCTAGCCCTTATATCGGCTACGCCAGAGTGAAGACGAGCAGCGGGAGCGAGACTGTGGTGCCGGTGTGCAGGGACCCATATTGCACAGGCTGTCAGATCAACGCTCACGCCGCTCAGGTGGTCAACGGTACCTGTCCGCCGGGGTGTACACAGTGCGCGCAGATCTCCGCCTATACCAAGAACCTCGCTGCCCTGCCCGGTCTCCTACCAACACTGCCAGCCTCCTCATTGTAAGTTCCTGTGATATACTAATGAATTGTCTATATAAATGTGTATATATTTATGGTATTGTCAGACCAGGAACGAAGGATTAAGACAGGAATTTCCTTTCTCTCACACACACACAGACACACACACACACACACACACACACACACACACACACACACACACACACACACACACACACACACACACACATATATAGATATGTATGTATATATAATAGGCCTATTTCTTGTTTTATTTCCAGTAAAAAACAGAGTATATTGAATATATGTTCAGTAAATTCATGTGATATATTTAAAAATATAAAAGTACTGCTTAGATTTGTTGGTCCATTAAGCTATTCAGGTATATATTAGGTACATACTGAGGGGTTACGTAGTGCCAAGAGCTAGTTATGTGTTATATAAAAAAAGATCCCATGAAAAGGAGTTATTTATGAACAAAACCACAAGGGCCGTGACGAGGGTTCGAGCCCTTGTGGGTTTGTTCATTTGATTCATCACGCTATTGTGATTTGTGTGTGTAAGGAGTTACTTATATTTTGTGTTTGTTTGTCCAGGAGTGGACTGTACCCTCCGCCCGGGCTGGTGGGGGGCACCCATCACCCTTACGTGTGTAACTGGATAGCGGGCGACACCTACTGCGGGAAGCGCTTCTCCACCTCGGAGGACCTGCTCCAGCACCTGAGGACACACACCAACCTCTCCAGCTCAGAGTCGAGCCTCTCCCTACACGCCCTGCACCACCCGCTACTGGCTGGCCACCTGCCCCGCGGCTACCCCACCCCGCCTCTCTCACCGCTCTCCGCAGCTCGTTATCACCCCTACGCCAAGCCGCCCCTCTCTCACCTGCCGCCGACAGCACCTCTCCCCGCCTCAGCCCTTACCGCCGCCTCCCTCTCGGGGCTACACCCTCACCCACTCTCTGCCTATTACAACCCCTATTCCATCTACGCGAGGGGGCTGGGGGCCACGACGGGGCTGCACTAGTGAGCGGACCCGCCGCCCTCACGCCCCCTGTATGTGAGTGGGTGTGTGAGGGTGTGGCAAGGGTGTGGCCCCCTGGTGGGCCGCCACACCCTGTGAGTGAGGGAGGGGTGTTGTTCTCTCCCTCGTGTGCAGCTGTGATGTCTCCTCTCCTTCAACATGTACAAATCTGTGTTTATGTGAATGTACAGTTTTAAGTCATTAGGGTGACAGTGTGATGTTTTAAGGTGGATCAGTGTGAGAAGTGGGCGGGACTACGCCCATGCTCGCCCGCTCCGCCCCTCAGTGTACCGTTTATGTTGTGTGTGGCACGTTTACCTATCTGTGATTTCCTTTACATGTCGAGGACAATCAGCTAAGTTTTCTCAACAACCGTGAACTCTGATTGTTGTTGGGAGTTCTGATCTCAGTTGTGTCACAAAGCTGAGGCGCTGAAGGAGAACAGTTTCCGTGTCAGGGAGTACCGTCGTCGCCAATGGCATCCCTCCCGCAGGATTAAGTGCGTGTTACCGTGCCGCCTCACACCTCCGCCAGGAAGTGTGTGTGTGTTACGGCCCTGCGGCAGGAGTCGACGACCCCGCGGCCTTACCAATGCTCATCTTGGAGGGTCGTCCGTCGTCGTGGAAGGTCGTGTTCCACCTCCCGGGAGGGCGGCCTCAGCGCCTAACTAACCCAAGCATGCGAGGTATCAAGCTCTTCTTTGCTCTTAGTGACGAAGTCTCTAAAAATTGGCTGTGTATCTCTTTTTTTATTATCATCATTATTATTATTATTTTCATTGTGTAATTTGCAGAGCCATTGATTGCCTATTGCATGCTTTGCTGAGAGATCCTTGAAGATAGACAGCCCCCCTTACTTGTTCCTAAAGCCCCCCCCCCCCCATACCTAATATAAAGCCAAGCGTACATGCTACTGTGTGTGTACCCAAGTCATGTGTTATGGGATTGCTAGCTACTTATTTGTTTGTATATTTATTGTACATCTGTAAACCAAGTTTTAGAGAGAAATACATTTATTTACAGAGCGATTTCTTCTGTCAATGACCTCGAAGCATGTGTCTGGTGAGAGAGCCCATGAGTACCGGCTGGTGAGTCGTTATATAAACACCAATTTGGCTATTTACTCAAACGGTATGATAATGGAATTACTCTCCTCAGTCCGTGTCACTACATATAATATCCCTCGGTATTATCTACTTGTCATAGTTGTTGAAAGTTCAAGAGGATGGCCGTTACCAGCACTTGAACGTTATCATACATTATAATATATATATATATATATATATATATATATATATATATATATATATATATATATATATATATATATATATATATATAGGGGGGTACCACCTCTGGTGCAATAATAGGGACCCACAGCCTCAAAGAAGGGAACACAGAGCATTCAGAGAAAAACTTGCCATTTAACTCTCTGAATACGTATGAGTGTTCGCTTCTCCCTACCACCCCCCTTTATATATATATATATATATATATATATATATATATATATATATATATATATATATATATATATATATATATATATATATATATAAATTTGTGTGAGTGTGTGTGTGTATTTCATATGTATATTAGGAAACATAACTAGCCAAAAAATATTTAGGAAAATAAATGGCTTTGGTTAATATGAAAATCTACTTTCTATAAAGTAGAGAAGTAGTGTGTGTGTGTGTGTGTGCATGTGCGTGCATGCGTGCGCGCCCGGGGAAATGCTCTACTACACATGGCCTTGCGACCCACTAAGCTGGATATAAACACTATACACAACTTACGTTTCTCACATAATACATTTCTCGTCAAAACTATCAAGTTGCCCTTCAGGTCTTCGGCTGATGCGTCCAGGACGAAGATGGGCTTATTTTTTTGTGTCTCTCCGGGTTGACGTAGCGTAGTCTAATGTATATGATTAACGGAGGTGAAAACCCTCGTAAAAATTTACCACATAATTAAGTTTGCACGCCATGCTAGCCTCTGTACGACTGCCGGAGTGACCCGAGTATAGAATATGCTTCAGTATGCTGTACCTCATTAGTAGCTTGGAGGAAGGGGTGGGGATGGAAGGGGGGGGAGCAAGGAATGGCAGGGGAAGGGAGCATGACAAGGAAGGAAGGGGGGATTGGGGCGTGGGGAGGGAGAGGGGGAAGCTAAACCAACGAAATGTGGCTGCACAAATTGCTTTCTGCCACTTTCTGGGACATTTATCGTATTATTCGTTCCCATTCCCGGGGGGAAAAAACCACATTATTCACGGCGAGGCGATTTATTTCGACAGACATATCTTTATATCTAATTTTTGGCGAGGTTCACGTTCTTTGGGATGTGTAAATCGCTGGCAAATGGCAGCGTTGTGAAGCGACTCTTTGAGTCTTATGAGCGATTTCTCATCTTCCTCGCGAGGCCGGCCAGAGTGTGGGGTCGCCGCCGCCGCCACTCAGGTTGCCTGCCACACCTTTGCTTGTAACTCAGATGCATAACAATCAGATAATCACTATTGCTGCGCAGGAGAGACACAGAGAGCTAGAGTATCGTCTAAGTTTATCACTACGCGCTTATGCGTTCTCGGTTGTCTTATCTGTTGAATTATTATTTTTGTCTTGTTCTCTTGGCGGGCCGCTGCAAGCAACAGCCTGGTGGACCAAATTCTCAGAAGTCAAGCTTGGCCTCGGGCCGGGCTTGGGGAGTAGAAGAACTCCCAGAACCCCATCAAGCAGGTATTCACTTTTGAACGTACGATGGAAACACGTCGTACAATCCCGAATTTAGCAACTTTCTTGTCCCTCGCGTCAGGCCATAATTCCCAGACTTGGCGTTTACAGGAGTTTGCTTTTTGGAAGTACATCTGGCATCGAGGTTAATTGAAAGAAATCAAATTGGCATTTCAATTTGACTTGTGACTAAGTGGCACATGTGTTAGAACACACACTGCTTGTGCCCACACACCTGGTGTCTGAAAACCCATGGTTATTATTATTATTATTATTATATCAATGTGATGTAGTCATTGGGCGAATTCGCCTTGGCTATAGACACATCTGGCAGGTCAGTGAGGCTGAGCCACTACCAGAATACTCAGATTGTAAACTCTGTGATAAACCTTTAATGCATTCACGAGAACACTATATTGATGAATGTGAAACCGTAAAGGACTTTAGACCTCCTGGCCTCTTGTAAAACACATAGTGTCATTTTATAGTTTGCGAGTACCTACCACAAACGTTGTAGCCACAGGTATCTAGCACATATGTTGTAACCCCCCTGGTGTTTATCACATATATTGTAGTCTCACGTATCTACTACACAAGTTGTAGCCCGTCTCCCAGGTGTCTACCGCAACACCTGTAGCCAGGCCTGTCATTTATAAACTACTACAGCTAGCTAGAACCAATCATACCAACAGGTGTCTACCACTGTAGCTGTAGCCCATCAAATATATTTACCACAGCAGCAGTAGCACCAGTCCGGTCTCCCAAATATGTACCACAACAGCTGTAGCCCATCAAATATATTTACCACAGCAGCAGTAGCACCAGTCCGGTCTCCCAGGTGTCTACCGCAACAGCTGTAGCCTATCCTCAAATATATTTACCATAACAGCTTTGGTCCTGTACCGCAGCAGCTGAAGCCACAGTCTCCTAACAGCGCACTTGCCGGGGTCTGACAGATACAAACGTCTACAGTTCGGCGTTTCTAGGAAGCGTTGGAGGCGCCGCGCCTGCTGCTCCCTCCCTCCCTCACTCCCCCCACAACTGCACATTTGCTTGACTGCTGCGAGTGGCTGGAGAGAAAGAGAAACCCTCAGCAAAGATTCCTACTAATTTACACAGGTGCCGTAAATGATTTACGTCAAAGTCTGAGCGTGTAACTGCCCGGCGCTGGCTTAAATATACGGGATGATAAGTAATGCTGAATTGATTTATAATGTTGTGGAGGAAAGGGTATGAGGATACATCCTGGAGGAGGCTGTATGAGGATACATTCTAGAGGAGGCTGTGTGAGGATACAGCCTCCCCGCGATACGTAGCCTCACTCACGGTGCTGATACATAAGTGACGCGACTGAGACAAGATACAAATACACAGGACACGTGTGTCGGCGGAGAAAGAGAGAGAGAGAGAGAGAGAGAGAGAGAGAGAGAGGAAAATAAAACTTGGCCATAAATTTATTCAGTGAAGTACAAAAAAACGCTTAGAAGGAGATAACACAATATAATAAGAAACTGACAGTGACGCTGTTCATAATTTACAGTGGCACTGTACAACATTTACAGTGACGCTGTTCATAATTTACAGTGGCACTGTACAACATTTACAGTGACGCTGTTCATAATTTACAGTGGCACTGTACAACATTTACAGTGACGCTGTTCATAATTTACAGTGGCACTGTACAACATTTACAGTGACGCTGTTCATAATTTACAGTGGCACTGTACAACATTTACAGTGACGCTGTTCATAATTTACAGTGGCACTGTACAACATTTACAGTGACGCTGATCATAATTTACAGTGGCACTGTACAACATTTACAGTGACGCTGATCATAATTTACAGTGGCACTGTACAACATTTACAGTGACGCTGATCATAATTTACAGTGGCACTGTACAACATTTACAGTGACGCTGTTCATAATTTACAGTGGCACTGTACAACATTTACAGTGACGCTGTTCATAATTTACAGTGGCACTGTACAACATTTACAGTGACGCTGTTCATAATTTACAGTGGCACTGTACAACATTTACAGTGACGCTGTTCATAATTTACAGTGGCACTGTACAACATTTACAGTGACGCTGATCATAATTTACAGTGGCACTGTACAACATTTACAGTGACGCTGTTCATAATTTACAGTGGCACTGTACAACATTTACAGTGACGCTGTTCATAATTTACAGTGGCACTGTACAACATTTACAGTGACGCTGATCATAATTTACAGTGGCACTGTACAACATTTACAGTGACGCTGTTCATAATTTACAGTGGCACTGTACAACATTTACAGTGACGCTGTTCATAATTTACAGTGGCACTGTACAACATTTACAGTGACGCTGATCATAATTTACAGTGGCACTGTACAACATTTACAGTGACGCTGTTCATAATTTACAGTGGCACTGTACAACATTTACAGTGACGCTGTTCATAATTTACAGTGGCACTGTACAACATTTACAGTGACGCTGTTCATAATTTACAGTGGCACTGTACAACATTTACAGTGACGCTGATCATAATTTACAGTGGCACTGTACAACATTTATAGTGACGCTGTTCATAATTTACAATGGCGCGGATGTACAAATTTAAATGAGGTAAAAGTAAAATTTTCTTGCGGCGACACATGAGTCTTACTAATTTACATTAAATTCAGGAATACAAAATTTATAGACGCAGGCATATGAAATTTACTGAGACGCAAGAGTACCGATATTACAGAGACGCAAGAGTACCGATATTACAGAGACGCAAGAGTACCAATGTTACAGAGACGCAAGAGTACCAATGTTACAGAGACGCAAGAGTACCAATGTTACAGAGACGCAAGAGTACCAATGTTACAGAGACGCAAGAGTACCGATATTACAGAGACGCAAGAGTACCAATGTTACAGAGACGCAAGAGTACCAATGTTACAGAGACGCAAGAATACCCATATTACAGAGACGCAAGAGTACCAATGTTACAGAGACGCAAGAGTACCAATATTACAGAGACGCAAGAGTACCAATATTACAGAGACGCAAGAGTACCAATGTTACAGAGACGCAAGAATACCCATATTACAGACACGCAAGAGTACCAATGTTACAGAGACGCAAGAATACCCATATTACAGAGACGCAAGAGTACCAATGTTACAGAGACGCAAGAGTACCAATATTACAGAGACGCAAGAGTACCAATATTACAGAGACGCAAGAGTAAAAAAAAAATTATGAGACACTTGCGTCCACATTGACTCATATTGAGTTTAATGACCGCTCTAGA